TGTTGGTATGAGTTCAGCCTGAAAGTGCATTCAAAAGTTTATTGTCTGCCTTTTTATGGGTTTATTAACTTTGTTTGGCATTTTGCGTATGTCACGGCGTGCATGCCGCTTCGATAAGAGGCTAAAAGCGTTGACTAAACTCCTTAATAGACGCCTTTGTTGGCTTTGAGTGTGTGTATCACACTCTTGTCGGCCTTTACGTATATTATATATATAGTTGATATCAGTTTTCCTGCACGTTTGCTAGTCGATAAACAATTTGCAAAGTTAGTTCAAGCGATAATATTTTATTTTTATTTTTATTTTTTAATTTTTGTTATTGATTAGATAATTGGGAGATTAAAACCAAGATATTATGAAGACAGAAAATATAGATACAGATAGAGACGGTGTCTATAGATACACTCAAGTGCACTCCAACAAAATTGTTTAGCACGTCGTGAAATTTTAACAGTAAGTAATACTAATAATAGATAAATACTACAGTAAAAGAAATCCTTATAAAAAATATGTATTTTGCTTGAAATACTACTACTACCAAATATACTTAAAATTTGGTACAATTTCCCAAAATACTCCTACAAAAAGACAAATAAATATACTACAGTAGTAGTAAAATAAAGTAATCTAACGACTACTACTTAATCGACTCGACTGTTAATTTGCCTCCATTTGCATGAGTCGAAATCGTATTCCTCTATGCGTACACCTAAATAAATTGGCAGATTTTCTATCTGCTTTAATTTCGAATGAGGGCTACTGCTTTGCATAGAAAAGAGAAATTAGCAAAACACATTATTTTTAACTGGGACAATAAACTCGAAATTGTGGTAATTTATGCAGGTAATTGAGCGAGTTTTCGCACGTAAATAAAGGCAAAACACAAACGCGTAAATATGAATACGGTGTATGTATATAAATATATTTGAACAACAATGCTTTGTATTTCATTTATACAAAAAAAAAAAAAAATCGATATATCATCCATAACTGATCAGAGGAATTCTGCTTGAAATGCATTTTGTACATTTTGAAAGTTTAAGAATCTTGACCCATTGGCAATTCTGATCTATTTATTTCTATAAATCAAATCATTAATCATTCTAAGATATCATTATCTCTATACGAGAATAATCAATCTTATTAAAGTAATTTATGTTTATAAACAAATGTCTCATTATTCAAAACGAGACGTTGCTTAAAATTATTTATTTCTCTCATTAAACTCTTAATAACTATTTAAGAATTCAAAGTTTTCAGTTTGACCTAAATCTGATAATCATTTTACATTTTATTATGCTCTAAATGCGTTTGTATTCTCTCTTGCTGTTACTTTTATTCAAGCCATATATATAGAAGAACGTGAATAACGTATACTTAATATAATTATGGATTCTCTTGCAGTTCGTCTTCTTTCCAATATCTCGAGCATAATTAAGGAATTTTAATGGGCTTTAGGCATAGCAACTGGGCGTACAAATAGCAACAAATAGATCATTCATTAGCTGTAAATGATCTGAGTCATCTGTAGCTACGTTTGTTGTGCCGGCTTTTTTTATTTCTCATATAATTTACGTTAGATGAGCTCGTAGTAGGCAGCGTATGCGAATGACTAATACCTGCCCACTTAGTAGATTATAATACAGCCACAAGAGTTCCCTCTTTCTCTCTCTCTCCTTCTCTTCCTCTGCTAAGCTCGCCCTGTCTTTACTTTTACTTGATAAATTAGTCGCTCTCTCGCTCCCTCTCTGATTCACTCTCTCATTCAAAAATGGCCAAATGAGTTTATCAGCTGCTGTCGCTTTATCTACGTAAACCCACCTGTCGTGGTCAGAGAGCCCTATCAATAGACCTGATACATACATATATGTACATATAGATAATATGCACTTCCTTTTACGCACTAATTAACCAACACTAGAACAACTGATATGTGTGCGGCAACGCGTCATCGGTTCGAGCCCAATGGGAAGTGAGTAACGAAGTTGGTAATGTAATGCCAGGTAAAACGGAAGTGCACGAGATTGTGGAACCAAGCAGAGCAGAGGGGGTGGCAGAGGCAGTGCAACAGCAATTGCACTTAGCTGCGCTGCGCTGCGCTGCTTGCGTCGCTGCTGCTGTTGTTGCGGCTGGCTGGGCGCATGCAGTTGGCAGCGACTGTTGAGTTTATTGGCCACAAGAAATAGCGATAGTACAAATTGTTGTTGTTGTTGTTGTTGTTGTTGCTGTGGCAATTAGGCATTCATGAAAGCGTGCAGCAGCAACACTTGAATCGCATTCGGATTCGAATTCGAACTCCGTTTCGGAGTCGAAATCTTTACGCGCCGTTGCATTATTTTCGCACTAATGAGCTTTGCTTTACGGTTTCTTCACGCTGAGCCATCATCAAAATGTTCTAATTACAGGTAAACTTATAAAAAAAAACATATCTTCAAGCTCTTTTTCAAGAAGCCAACTGTGAAGCTGCTTCACACACACACACTCACAAACACTCGCGCGCACATACACACACAGTCAGTATCTGTATCTGTGTTGGCCTTTGTGTGGCTTTTGGTTAGAGTCGTCATTGGTAGTATTGGTGTATTTGGTAATAGTCGATGCACAAACACAACCTCACTTTTTTCGCAGCACTTTTTTCGCTTTGCTCACTTTGGTGAATGCAATTTGCAGCACTTTACGCACTTGTTGCGTTTGCCGTTAGATTTTTGTTATGTTTCGCGTATTGATTCGCATCTTTTTGAATTCAACAAAACGACGCTTTCTGTTGGCTTTAAGGCGCGGTCATTGGCGATCACACTTACACACATACACACTCCCTCTCACACAGACGCGCTCTTCCACTTGTGTGTGTGACAACAGAGAGAGAGAGAGACATAAAAAGCACCGTTGAGATCAAAATTTGCTTGCGTTTTAGCGCGCACACGTCTGCTCGGTCGCGTCGTCGAACACCTTCTGAGCGCACTGAGTCGCCCAGAGAAGCTCCACGGTCAAATCCCGCTCGCTCACTCACTCTGCCCTCTCTCTGTCTGTCACAGCTCTAGGTGCGCGGGGTGAAGCTTTGCGCGAGCGAAACGAAATATTTAAAGTTCGCTCGCAGTGGACAAAGCCAAATGTCGCTTCGCTCGCATTGTTGTTGTCGGGTGGGTTTCGTGTTGTTGCTTTTTGGCTCTGCTGAGCGTGCGACTCGCAGTTACCTTGGCCGAAATGGCAGCAGCTACAACAGCTTTTCAACTTTTGGCCCATTACCTGTTGCTGTTGTGCGCCGTTTGAATTAACAGTCGCTGTAGCTGTCGCTGCCAGTGAGCTGTGTTCAGTGACCACTGTTAAGTTAACAGACTGATGACTGTTATTCACTCGGCAATATGTAGACTGAGCTTCGGTTGACTTTATTACAATTAAGTAAATGCATAGAATTCGCTGTGAACAGAATTTCATTATTAAAATATAGTAGCATTTTATAAGAAAATTTAAATATACATATTATGTATGCCCATTTATTTGAATATTATTATTTAGCTACCTTTTACTTTCAGTTATATTCAGTTATTTTCATTGGAAGTCTTTTGAATATAATCTGAATAATCAATATACATATATTGGAGTTTGTCGATATTAAATTATACTTTATATAAATGCATATACACTGATATATATAATATTTAATGTTATATACCATAAACACTCTATGATCAATATACTTAACTACCAAACAGAAAAACAAAAAAAAAAAAAAAATTAATCATTCTAAATGTTCTAGCTTAATAATAAAAGCGTATACGTTACATTTAATTATATTCATTAAATATATTTATACAAACTCATTTTATATAGCAAAATGTTATAATGGTAAGAAAACATAAGGAAATAATTTGTTTATTTATGCTGAATTTAGGAATTAATAAATGATTATTTCAATACCAAGGCTAGTAAGCTAAGTGATTTAATATTAAGTATTGCAGTATACAGTTCTTGTTCTATATATGCATACAAAATATATGTCTAATATGATCCAAGTGCCATTGATATTGATATTTTCATTGCATACCTACGGGCTGTATATAATTATCTATGGTCAAATTAAAACAAAAGTTAGGACTTTTTATTATATCAAATAAACATTACTCTCTCTTGGCTACTTTAATAATTGCTGTAAGTTTATTATTGTCATTCTCGGGTTTAGTCCATTTTCAGAAGTTCTTCCTCATTATACTCTATAAAATACTTGCAAATTATTTTATTTTTTCATTACCCTCCACAGAAAATGCTAGTTATGAATTCATTTCATACAGCTTTGGGGTGACTTCCTTTTGAAGAGCAATAAAAACAAAAAGTTTTTGGCATTTCGGCAGAAATTCATTCTCACGCCGAGTCTTTGAGCAGGCGAATCACGTGCGAGGGTCGTTCGATGATATCATCAGATTCGCTCGCATCTTGACTAATATAATTATAGCTGACTTACATTTTTTGTTTTATAGTTAAAGTTTCCTGAATATCTCGGCTCGATGACAGCAATTTACGTGCCACATTAATTGAACTTTCTACGTGTTCGAGTGCGGCACTTGGAGTTGAAATCATGTTCAAGGCGTTGCCTCACCCCGAGCCACAAACGGAAAGAAAAAACCACCAGAGCTAGACGAAACGTGCCTGAAGTACAAGATATTATAGATACATAATATATCGTATAATGTCTGTGACATCGTTTGATTGATTGATTGGATGAATCATCCAACAAAATACACAAAAACTCAATTAATTTCAATGCAAACTTTATTTAAATATTTATATAGATTTATATATGTATCTATGTGTATATATATATATTTCTATTAATTGTGGGTGTGTTTCAAAGTCATTTAAAATTCAAGGAAGACCATGGAATGCTAGAAGGCTGTACTAAAACTCTATGAAAATAAAAACTTAAGATCTCTATCAACTAAGTCTATAAAAATTTAACTGCAATTCTACGGCCGCAGCTCGTGTCTGTGTTTTTTTTCTCTCTATATTTTTGTTTCGTTTTTGTTTCTTATATGTCCAAGCTTTACTTTTACTTTCAACCTTTATTTCCCTCAGCGTAGATCTTGAAATGATTTTGCATTCAAGATTATCTTACAAATTAAATATAAATTAAAAAAGTTTTTTTTTATAAAACTAGTTCTGGCTAAAAATAAGGAGAAACAAAAACAACACTTAGTGTTGGATCTATACTAGTTGGATCTAAACTATCAAGTAGACTCTCTCGTATCAATTATATATGTATAACTAGGTCGAATTTAGATCATGTACTAAGAGTACGCACTAGACTAACCTAACTGTTAGTGTACTAAATGTACTAGAACATTAAAATAGCAGCTGATCTATATGGAATGTGTGTACTAAGGTGTACTAAAAGCACAATGCTTCAAATGCAACAACAGTTTGTGGCACATCTTACACTTATGTTCTAAATAATATATTGTGTACTAAAAACGATGTATGTTTTAATTAAAGTATTTTCTTATTGCCTTGTCTTCAGGCATTGTACTAAAATGTACTAAAAGTGCACTTATGGCTAAATAGCGCTCTGCCCGCGTTAGAGCAGGCCTCCATTCCTGCTTAATGTACTAAAAACTGAAATGCTTTCGCTCAGCGTCTCATGATGTCCTCAATGCTGAAGCCCGTGCGTCTGGGTGGTGCCGGTGGTGGCGCCACAACTGGCGGTGCACTTGCTGCCGGTGGTGCTGGCTGCGACGCAGGCGGTGGTGCAGCTGGGGCAGCCGGCACCGCCTCCTTCTCGGGCGCTGCACACGCTTCCGTTGCACTCGGCTTGCAGAGCAGCTGTCTGGGCGGATGCCGCGACATGTTGATGGCATAACTCTCCAGATACGAGCGCTGATGCTCCACCAGATCCACCAGCGGCGCTGGCGGCGGCAAAATGCGTTTGCGCACCGGTATAGAGCCCAGGAAGCTGGGCATCGCCTCGTGCGGCGAGTGCAGCGGCTGCGACGGCGGCCGAGCCGGCTCCGCCGAGCTGCCGCTGGTCACTATGCTGGGTGGTGTGGCGGACGCGGGCGTCGTCTTGCTGAGGTTCAGCGTCTTGTGGTGCAGATCGCGGCGCACGTGCAACATGGGCAAGTAGGGGTCCCCATTGACCGGCGGCAGCAAGTGACCGTGATGTGGTGCAGCTGGAGCTGGGCCCGCAGGCGGTGGTGCATAGCGTAGGCTGGGCATAAAGGTGGCAGCCGGCGGTGGTGGTGCTGCGGCTGCTGTGGCTGCTGCTGTGGCTACTGTGGTTGCCGCTGCATGTGGCGGCTCCTCGCTCTGCCGCTCGCCGTGCGGCCGCATGGTGTAGGTCTCGCCGCCCTCGTGGTGACAGTGGGTGACGCCTTGGCGCTCCGGCTTGCCACTGCTGCCAGCCGCAGCGGCTGCTTGGCCCGCCTTGAAGCGTGCGACAAGCGCCACCTCGGCCTTCTCCTCCTCGGTCTCCGTTTCCAGTTCCTCGTCCTCGGCCAGGTCCAAAGCGCCAGCTTCATGCAGCTCCTCCTCCTCGTCAAAGTCATCGAATTCCTCCTCGCTGTCCTCGTGCTCGTAGCTGGCGCTGCTGCTGTTGGTGGCCTTGCGCTTGAGCCGCATGCGCTCCGCCTCGTCCTTCTCGGACTTCTCGCTGAGCGTGTGCACAGGCGACTGGCGTGGCGAGTCGACCTCCAGCAGGGAGTCCTCCTCATCGCCGCTGAGCTGCCTGGCCTCATCCTCCTCGCCCACGTCCACATAGTCAGCGCTATTCACCTCGCCCACAGCGTGGGTCAGGGCATGACGCCTCAGATCGCAGTTGCGACGGAATACCTTGCCGCAGGAGGAGCACTCGTACGGCTTGTGATCGGTGTGGGTGAGCAGATGGGTCTTCAAATTCGAGCGCTGATTAAAGCTGCGACTGCACACGGGGCACTTGTGGGGCGACTCCTCCATGTGCAGGATCTTGTGCACGGCGAGGGTGCGCGACTGGCAGAAGCCCTTGCCGCACTCGGTGCACTTGAATGGCTTCTCCTTCGAGTGTATGTACCTAAGGGGGACAGACAGAGAGAGAGAGAGAGAAAGAGAGAGATATAGTAAATTGACTGTGCTCATTGCGTGGGCGTTTTTGGTAGCTGGCAGCTCAAGTTGACAGTTATCTGCATTATCTCGCTGCCCGCTCAGATAAAGTGCGCTGATATATTTTATGTTTATGGCAGCCATCTTTGAAATGGCGTCCACTTGTTGTTGGAACAAAAGCAACAGCAGCAACAGCAGAAACAGCAGCAACAGCAGCAGCAGCAGCAGCAACAGCAACTCGCAGCAGCTGCTGTGACTCTTAAATGAAAATCAAAACAGGTTCTACGGCTCAGATCTGTCTTGGGTCCAGCTTGGCACTGTCTCTCGACGGGCTTCAAGGCGCACCGAGATTCTTCTTGCTGTTTTCCTCTTAGCGTTCCCTTCACGCCTCTCCACTTCTTCGGCTGCTGCTGCTGCTGCTGCTGCCGCCGCGGCTGAGAAATTAGCCCCGCGGCAAAGCAAACAAACGACAAATGGACCGAAACCGAACGATCAAAAGACGCAAAGCATCTTGGACAGGCTAACACACACACACAGATATATGCACGCATACACTCACTCACTCGCACACATACAGCTGTCTGCTGCTGCAGGTATCCAATGTTTCGAGTACCCCTTGCCCCTGGCCCGCAGCCCTCATTGCCAGCCCCGCCGGTCCCCAACTGAAAACCAACAAAGTTAATTAACTCGGTCTTCAGGCGGCATGTTCTACCTTCAACTTGGCCAACATGACAGAGTCAACTGATTTTATGAAGCTGTTTGCCTGCTAAGTTTTTTCATAATTCTTTATATTATGTTAATTTCTTGGAGTTATACCCAAAGTTTCTCTCTAAAGTAAACCTTTCTCGAGAGTTCTCGTTGAAATTTCGCTTTCTACTATATTTATTCCTAGCAGAGATCCACTCACAGCAGAGAATCCGGTAGTTTGACACCAGAAATCTTCTTCTAACTGTTATAGCTTCTACTTGGCTAAAATGATAGAATCGCTAGATTTTAATAATCTATTTGGCTACTTTGCTTCCATTTTGAATTTAACTTCTTATTGACTTTAAATTTATTTTATTTTTTATTTTTTTAAGTGGAATTTCTTCTGTTTCTTGTGTTTAGTTTTCTTTCGTTTGCTGCTTTTGTAAAATAATTTACCGT